TGCCTGTGTAAAAATACTAGAATTTTAAGAATATTTGAATCGATATTCAATTATATAAATTACAACAACAAATATTATATTGTGCAATCTATTTAATATTAAATATACAACAATATTAAAATTCTTATTCCTATTTTTTCTGTAACTACTCAATATTGAATCAATGATATTTAGTTTACTCCAATCTATTTATTCGACTTTGTTATTTTCTTTTCATTATTTATAAATAATCTAATTTGTTTCTTTTACCACTTTTAAGAGTTGATGTTATCGGATTCATATAAAAAAAAACAGTTTGTTCTGGTGGAATTGGAGAAGTTGCTATCTTTTTGGGGAAGAGCCTAAAAGACTTTCCAGAAATGCCAATTCCAACGAAACTAGCATGGGTTTGAGTGAAAACATGTTGATAGCCGAAGAGTTGGCGTATGACAAGGAATCGTTGAAGACAGAGCATGAAACATTGGTAACACAATTGACCGACGAGCAAAATAATGTTTACGACTCTGTGATGAATGAACGGAGCAAGAATAGTTAACGGGACACATGAAGGTACCAAAGTTCTTATCCTTCAAATGTGTCTCACTCCTTCTGATACGAGATTGCCCATCAAGTTTCAGCGTAAACAATTCTCATTGATGCTTGCATATGCCATGACTATCAACAAAAGCCCAGGTCAAGCACTAACTCACGTTGGGTTATTGCTAAAAAAACCAGTTTTTAGTCACGGAATTGTACGTGCCTTTCTCCCGAGTCACCATCCTGATAGCCTGAAGGTGTTAGCTCTAGACGATGATGAATAAGATTGTGTTGCGACTACCACTGTCGTTTACAAAGAGGTTTTCAATAATGTGCAAATACAATCGTTGATATTATTTATTATTTTTTTTCAAAATGACAAATTGCTATATATCTAGACAAAAATATATCCTCTATACAAATGAATTAGGCTAACAATTGATTATTATAACCAACTTGCTAGGTAACGAGCACATTGGCCCAATTTATAAAAATCATAAACAATGATATATAAAATCTCTAAAGGTACAGTACCGCATGCGTACATCTACAAATTAGCTATTAATTTGAGCAATTATTTGCTAGAGTTCAAGCAATGATAACATCAACAAACATAAACGATACAAACCATATATTTGATGTTACAATTTAAATAATTGTATATCGATCTAAATATTCTTAATTTATTATAAGAAATCCATTCCGTGCATCACACGGATGAAAATACTAGTTCATAATAATAAAAATATACAAACACAATACCATAACAACACTGCGAACATAAAACACAAATTATAAAGTTCAAACATCCATATATATTTAATTATATATATATATATATATATATATATATATATATATATATATATATATATATATATATATATATATATATTTAACCGTTCGGTTAAATCGGCTAACAGATAGTTTCGAACAGAATTAACCGAAAATCGAAATTTTGTAAATCTTTTAACCATTAATCGAACCGAAGTTTTTTTGGTTAAAGAATGACTAACCGAAATTCTTCGATTCGGTCAGTTAACCGAACTTTAACCAAGGTTTGCACACCCTACCGCTTAGTACCACTGGACTGACGGGTCTATTGAACCCATTGATATATCCCATTACCAATGAGTTTGGCACCCCGTTGAGTGGTGTACTAAAGGCTTGTCTGTAGTGCAGTAATGGTTGGTATGTGATGCACATGGGAATACTTGATGGTGCATTAGACTCATAGCACCACCAAGCATATCAAATTAATGCACCAACATATTATATTTTTTAAAAACGCACCAGCATATGATTAAAATTACTAAAAGTCCATCACCTTTTTCCCCATTTTTATTGATTTATAGCTATTGATTTGAGCTCATCCCACAATTGCGATATGTCCGCTCGTCTGCATGGGAGGAGGCAGTCACACCAGAACCAAGCCATATATATATATATATATATATATATATATATATATATATATATATATATATATATATATATATATATTAGTAAGTACTGTTTTTCCTACCAAAAATGAAACACTATGTTGGTCCCGGTAGAGTTATAGCGAGGGTCTAGAGGGGAGAGGGGGGGGGGGGGGGGGGGGGGGGGGGGGGGGGCTGAATAGACTCTTTTCGTGTTTTGCAGAATAACAACCTTTCGGTGTTTTGGCGCAGCGGAAATACTAAATTCATTTACTTGCTTTGCACGGTTTTGACGTTATTAGGGAAACTTTCGGATTGAGTTAGGAAGATGATATGATGCAGAGAATAGATAAAGTAAATAAAGAGATAAGGAGACGAGAGAGTTTATAGTGGTTCGGCCAACTTTGCCTACTCCACTCTTCTTTCACAACTTATGGAAGGTTTGCACTATCACTCGTTAGTACAAATACACAAGAAGCTTCCTTGATCACTAAGTTGGACAGCTTCCTGCAGGTTTTTCAACTCCACGAGTTTACTCCGCCTCTATCAACTTCTTCTTCAGAGTTGAGGTTGGTAGAAAATGAATTCTGATTTCTCCAACGTGATGAAGTCTTGACTGATGAAGGATGGTTGCTTCGTACAAGATGCAAGACTTCTTCAAGGTGTAAGATGAGGATCAATGGACTTCTTCAAATATCTTAACACCTTAACACTGGTTCTCAAAAGCTTGATGAGAACTTAGAAGATTTAAGAGCTTTTGCTTAGAGGTTAGATCGAGTGAAAAGAACCGGCACCTCCTTAGTTGATGAAGGTGAGTTTATATAGGTGAGGAAAATTCCATCCGTTGGAGGGAGATGAAATTTTCAAACCTAATATCCAGTGGGTAAGGACCTGGGAGCTTCTCGCACTAAATGCTCCATTAATAGGTTTTGTACCTTGTAGCCGTTGGTGGCATAGATAGCCTTAGGGTTTTGTCTATTAGCTTTAGAATAGTACAACTTCATTTAATGCTCCTTGGTATGCATGTCCCATATGTTGAGGTCCTTTTTGTTCCTAGGATGTTGTCAAATCAGACAATGAAGACATTCTTCTAGTTATTGAAGACGAAGAATGTCTTGAAGGGTTGTCATAAATAAGACTGTCTCTTCATGGTAGATGACAACTCCTGATTAACTTTCGTTGAGGACGCTTCATACTTCGTGTCTTGACCCTTCTTTTATCTTGATAGCCCTAACATCTAAGCATAACTCGTTTTCGTGTCTTTGACTATCTTAACACGAATTATAGTGTGAGTTATGGCAACTCTCGTCTAGGACGAAAGTAGCGATTAACAAATAACAAAGGTTAGAGGTCTACATTCTAGATTACATTAATATCATCAAAATCCTAATACAAGTGTTCCTAACACACTATTTGCTGATAACATAATGCTTACCCAGTAAAATCAGTTCCAGTCCTCAAATGTTCCTTTGAATATTACATCATATCCTAGATTTGGTTGGAAAATCGAATTTCCTTAGCACAACTGTAAAGAAACTTCCTAGCAACTTACAAGTGTATATGGCACAAAAATGAACCATCTAATATTTATTTATACATCTTTAATAAATAATACGATAGTGACATATTATACAGTAAGGAAAGATTTCGATAGATGCTCCTATTTCTGCATGCACATTATGTTAAAAAATGAAATTATAAAATATCACTTGTTTTTTTTACCTCTTTTTTTACGACTTGACACTTGAATTATTTACAGGCGAAAAAAAAATACTATAAATATATACAACACAAAGAGAAAAAGTGACATTTTTCCTTTTTTTTTTTTTTTTTTTTTTTACATAACCTAAGCCCAGTACCCTTTATATATATATATATATATATTCTAGTATAGACCTGTTGAATGGTAAATTTGAGTCCCACTACCCTCATGAATTGAAAAATAGAAAATATAATAACTCTTATGTTCGGTATAGGTTCGAAAAATCGAGTCTAGAATTTTGTTATTAATAGTAGAGCTGACTGCTATGTAAGTATAATGAAATATAAATGTATTTTTAGCAGTGATTATAACTTTTGGCGTTGTGATAAATTAAACGTTTGATCTTATAACAATGTTGTGCCAAACAGACCATAGATGGAGGGCATATTGTGTAATTAAGCTCGAATTTCTACCTATGGGAAAATTGGAAGCCATTCCCCAGATCTAGAAACACTCCCCCTCCCCTCCACCCTCCCCCACCAAAAAAAAAAAAAAAAAGTAAAATTTAAGCAACAAAATTCCATAAAAACATAAGAACATGAAAAGATAGAAAAAGTAGTCGGAGTACTTATGTTACAGTACATAAACCTTAATTTCATACGCACCAAAAAAAAAAAAAAAAAAAAAAAAAAACAAACATAAACCTTAATTTCATCAATTCTAGCTCTTCTTCTAATCGTCTCCTCCAAGAAGCCTCTCCAACCAGCCATCTTCGTACTCAACCTTAAAAGCCTCTTAACTTTAATTTTTTAGCTGACGAGTCACCGCGCTCTACTCAAAAACCTCTAAACTGTTAGTGTTTATGATTTTAATTGTGCTCATTCATACTTCCGAACAAGCACTTTTGTTCACACTCCAAAATGTTCTCATAATCTCTTCTTCCAAACATTTATTTTCAAGTATCATCTAGACGAGAAAAGTGTACTTGGGTGGTGTCTATGTTTTCTTCTTCAATTCGTCTCAGTTAAACAATCTTTTATACTCAAACATGGAAAAATCATTAAAATCCTTATGTGGAATAGGAGTTCACGTTTTCCTGTTCTTTTTCTTCCCGGGCTTGATCGAGAATGGAATATCAAATATGCTCAAACAGCTTCTTTTTTTTTTGAAAGGATAATGCTCGAACAGCTTTAAACCATTGGATTCTCCAAACCAAATAGAATGAATGATCGAGATGACCTCGCTTATATGTTCAATTCGGACCTATATATATATTATTATAGAATTTAAGTGTCTATGTGGCCTTCACACGCCTATATATACTCCTATATGATTGGGCATATAATACAGCCAACATATTACAACATTATTTCTCTCTACAATTTTTTTGAACAAAATAAAGATGGAGGGGAGTTCTTCAAAGGGAAAGGCGATTCAAGGGGGGAAGGGGAAAGAGGAGGTGAAGTATCGCGGCGTCCGGCGACGGCCGTGGGGGAAATACGCGGCGGAGATACGCGACCCGACGCGGCAGGGGGCGAGGCAGTGGCTGGGAACTTATGATACGCCGGAGGACGCCGCCAGGGCATACGACCGGGCGGCATTTAAACTGAGGGCTCATCTTGCGATCTTGAACTTCCCTAATGAGTATTATTCTCAGCTCCCCAACCCTCCTTGCTACTACCCCTCGGTTACGCGCGCCGGCGGTGGCCCGGAGAAGGCCAGCGGCCCTTCCACCGGGAAACCGAAAGAGGTTTTCGAGATTGAGTACGAAGATGGCCTGTTGGAGAGGCTTCTAGACGGAGACGATTAGAAGAAGAGAGTTTGATGAAATTAAGGTTTATGTTCTGTAACATAGTACTCCGTCCTTTGATCTACTACTTTTTTCATGGCATTTTGCTGGTTAGTTTTTTACTTTTTTTTTTTTTTGTTTCTATATTTGGGGTATGGCTTTCCAATTCTCCCATAAGTAGAAACTCGATCGAGCTTAATTTCCCAATCTGCTTCTCATCTATGGTCTGTTTGGTACAACATTATTGTTATCACCAAACCCTTTTCTTGTGTTCTTTTTTATTTGGGAAGATTAATGAAAGGGTTCATGTATTTCCTTTTCCAAGTAATGAAGCTTAGATTCATTATTGCATTTTTTTTTCTAAAAAGAAAATATTTTTAGATCTTGAGGGTAGCAGGAGTCGAACATACTGTTCCGACAGGTTTAGAAAAACAATTTGGTCAAATAGTTGAAACGTGGAATTATGGCTGCTTTAACGACGTATTTCAAACTTTACAATTAAAAAAAAAAAAAAAAAAAAACTTCAGTATTTAAGGTGAATTCAAATCCAATTATATTTGACCAAATTGTTTTTCTAAACCTGTCGGAACAGTGTGTAATGTGTTCGACAGATGAATTCAAATCCAATTATAATACTATAATGTTTAATATAAAATTTAAATCTAATTGAGATTTAAAAATTTCACTATATAAAAAAAAAAAAAAAAGCATCAATAATTAATTTTATAGTGCCTTCTGAGAATTTAACTTATAATCTTGTAGTTACCAAGTCAACTATCTGACCACTTTGATGAAGTTGTCAACTCAATTGTTTTGCTAAACTTTGTAAACATGGATGATATATATATATATATATATATATATATATATATATATATATATATATATATATATATATATATATATATAGGGAAGGGATCATGTGCATTTGTGGCTTCCGTTGCGGATGTGCGGTGGATTAATGTGCATGAGATTTATACTTAATGTGCGTGAGATTTGTACTCAATGTGCCTGAGATTTGTACTCAATGTGCGTCATGTTAATATGCGTGAGTTTTGTACTTAATGTGCCTGAGTATTGTGTTTAATGTGCGTGAGATTTGTGCTTAATATGCGTGAGTATTTCAGAATTACGAGCTCAGAAGGAAGTAAAACAGAAACTCACGCACATTAACGCCCAAGCTTCTTGTTACTTCTTCCTTCAATTTGGTCATAGATTCTGGATTATCAGCTACCTTTAGTGCAGTTGAATGTTTATATAGATGACGCACACACAGTAAAATTTGCACAGCAGCTAAATATGGATTTCTGTTGTATTATTCCCATAATTCTTAACCACCATAGCTCGCCTCCGCATCATCATCATCAGGGAGGGGTACAATGGCTACTGGGATGGGGAAGAAGCTAACATCAATATTTTCTGCTGCATTTTACACATTCACGCATATTAAGTACAAATCTCAGGCACATTAATCACAACACTCACGCACATTGAATACAAATCTCACGCACATTAATCCACCGCACATCTGCACAGGAAGCATTCATCCGTACGGGAACCTTTCACTATATATATATATATATATATATATATATATATATATATATATATATATATATATATATATATATCACTACACTGAAATACTTGCATAACAATCAACGCTACAGGTTTCGATGACAGGGTGTTAGACTTGATTGGATGCCATGCAACAATAATCCCCTCCCAACACTCAGAATCAAGCGTTTATAATTACGCCAAAAGTTATGGTTAATAACAAATGCATAACTTTATTTTTTTTATATTTGCATAATAATCAAATCCAAATTTCTATGAGGAGATGCTGGATTCAACTTTTTAAACTACCCTCCAACACTCATTGTTCAAACCCTATGTACTAGGTATTACGTACGCTGATGTTCTTGGATAAATATATATATATATATATATATATATATATATATATATATATATATATATATATATGGTCAAGCACCTATAAAATTTGTAGTTAGTTGCATGAATGCTGATATACATACGAAAGTAGACACGCACATTTAAATAACCAGTTCAATCCAAATTAGTATGCTGTTTAGTTTAAGGCTCAGTTTGATAAAATAATTAGCATATCAGTTAATTTTGTTTTATTTGATTACTATAGCTGTTTGGCTTTGTTAATCAATTAATATGAGTGTTTGATTATTATTTTTTTATAACAGTTTATTGTTTCAAAACACTAAAATTCAAAAAGCTACTCTTTGATTAGCTTTTTTAAAAAAGTCATTTTGTATGTAATCAGCTATCAACTAATAGTAAATTTACCAGCAAATATATATAGAATTGAACGACACTACTTTGTGATAATATATATATAGGTGCCCACAATTTTTATATTAATCAAGTTGATGTATATATTGACTGCTGAGAGTAGAATTGAACGACACTACTTTGTGATTGATTCTATTGTGGCTTAAGATGAAAGTCGTACAAACAGGCATTATGAAGAATCCATAGAAAAAGAATAAAGTTTAAGATCATTAACATATGGATGCGATTTCAGTGGTAAAAGTGGTTTTTTTGACTCAAATCTGTTGGAAATGTTCTAGATTAAAGCACTTAACCTATCTCTAATTTGGACCAAACTACATCATGCCAGAAAATGAAAATCCGACAATATTCGAAACATGATTTTGTGTTAGATATTCTGAATCTTATGTTGTGATTTAAATAAGCTAATTGCATAGGATGGTATTATAACATTACAATTATATTCTGCAAACCTTTTTGCTTCGGAAGATATGGCATCTATCAACATGTATACTACCAGTACCTGTCCAATCCACTTAATTAAGTTACATCAAATATATAATCAGATTTTTAATTTGCGATGTTTGGTAAATAGCTGTTAGCTAATTGGGTTAGTGAGTTTGAATAGTTGATAGCATTAGCTGATTGGAGAAAGATGTTTGGTAAATTAGCTGTTAACTGAGAACTGATTACATGTAAAATGGCTTTCTCAAAAAGCTGTTTTAGCAGCTTTTTGAATTTTAACATTTTGGAACAATAAACTGTTACAAGAAGTTAATTAGTTAAATACTTATATTGAATTTCTAACCAAGTCAAACAGCTAATAATGATGAAATAAGTCAAAATTGACTGATAAGCTAACTATGTTACCAAATATAACATTTAACTTTTAAAAAAAAAAAAAAAAGCAATTCAAGCATAATTAATGGGATAAAGATAAGAGTATAGTTTGTGTAGTCCAAGTAAAGTACATTGTGACGGGGTCTGAGTATCTTGGGTTAGACCAAGTGCATTGCGATCCAGCCCAAGGACTCAATACTAACACTTTAGGTTGAATTGAAGGTATTGGTCTAGTGAATCTAACCAAAGTGATGGCCTTAGACTTAACTCAAAGGACCTAATTTAAGAAAAGATTTTGTTTGGAGATATTATGATAATTTCAATGAGCGTCCACTAACATCCTTAACAATTACTAAAAGATAGCAGAGATTTTGTTTGAAGATAATGAGAATCTCAATGAGCGTACACTAACATAAGTAACAATCACTAGAAGATATAGTAGAAATTTTGTTCGGAGATATTATGAGAATCTCAACAGGCGTCCACTAACATCTGTAACAATCACTAGAACATCTGTTACGATCACTAGATCATATCGAAGATAGTTGATGTTTTGTTTAGAGATGTTATGAGAATCTAACTAGTGTCCACTAATATCTGTAACAATCACCTAATATCTGTAACAATTACTAGAAGATAGTAGAGATTTTGTTCAGAGATTTTATGAGAATCTCAACAGACGTTCACTAACACCCATAACAATCACTAGAAGATAGTAGAGATTTTGTTAAGAGATATTATGATAATTCTAATAGGCACCTACTATCATCCGTAACAATCACTAGAAGATAGTGGAGGATACTACATGAATATGTGCACCAATAACCAGCTAAACTCCCACCAACATGGACAATTGGTCTTCACATTCGTTTAAATAGAGGAAATATACAAAATGCTAGCCACACACATCTTACCATGTATAGACACTCTCGTACGCTCAAAATAATTATCATAATCAATCAATCTCTTATTAATAAACACAATTCCCATATACAATTTTTTCCATACAAAATATTGTTTGAAATATTCTTACTCAAATATATAATATTTTTTCAAAAAATAAAATACTTTTCACTGAAACTATAATATTTGTTGACCCGTTGAAAACAAATCATTATATTTTCTTTAAAAAAGTATATTCGTTTCACGTGAGACAGTTTTATTCCAGACTAACTATTGTTTCAAAAGTAAATTTTATTTCATTAACCCTCAATAAATACAATAATTAAAATTTAAATTATAATCACAGTAATTAATGATAATACCAAAAAAAAAAAAAAAAAAAAAAAAAAAAAAAAAAAAAAAAACTAGTTATATGCATGCACGATTGTTATATGAAAAATTTAAAGAATTTTTTATGATGTCAATAGTATCAAATTGAATACAATCATACATGGTATACATTATATATGATTGTACATAATATTATCAGTACTGATACATGTTATCATCGTAGACTTTTTAGTAAATTTAATTATTTTAATATTTTAAAAAAATAAAAATCAACTAAACATGTGCGATTATGCATTAGTGGAAGAAACTTTTCAATCTACAAGTAGATCGTAGATTTATCAACTTGTTTCAAGTTGAAATTGACCCTTCCAATAAAAGATGAGATGAGAATTAGTTTCAAACATCTCGTCGCATGGTGTTTGATGGGATTCTCAAAATGCTTTTGCGAGTCCTCGACTCCTCGTGAAGAGATTCTTTAAACAATCTTTTATGTTGACAGGCATGATCGTTATATTTTATCCATAAAGCATTGGTTTTTTTTTTTTAGGTTAATTGTATTGAGCATATATAATATAGGCCCGGGGCGAAACAAAAACAAGGGCCCTTAATATATGACGTTAAAAGATCGTAAATTATTTTGTGGATCCGGGTCCACCTTGCAAGGTGGACTTAGGCTCAAATGATCACAATTTACCTTTTAAAAATTCACAATTTGTATACTACGAACATACCATGTTAATATATATGTAATTGATTATCTTATTTTGTATTCACAAGTTCTTTTCAAATACTGTAGTCACACAATATTAACATACTCCGTATTAGGATTTGATGACCCTGTACTTTATTCACAAATTTCCTTCTACAGTTGTTAAGTTGTTATGTGTTTTGACTTAGAAACACAATTTATATTCTAGAAGTTCACAATTCTAATACTAA